TGTTCCATAACTCCCTCTTTAAACCAGGCATTTCGTCATAATCCCACGCGAAGCAATCTTTGTTTTTCTTGAGGACTTCGATCACTTCCTGCTTGAGGCTTGGGTTAAGTTTTGCACTTATGTAGGTTATTCTTTTCGTGTTCTCATCCCCTAAGTTCACTTCTTCGAGTGGATCCTGCGCCAACATTTTGGCACCTGAGTCTATGGGGTCCCTCTCGAAGCCTAAGGGTTCTTTATCATAGATGGCGTCCAGCCTTTGATCTATTTCAAGTTCTTCAAAGGGTGAGCCTTTCGAGCTACCCCCATTTATTTCGTTCATCTTTACAGCCAGTTTATTTATTTCAACCTCTAAGGCCGCCTTTGATTCGTTCTCAGCCATATAGGCCTAAATCCTTTCAAAAAAGGAGGACTCGGTCATGAGTAAGGTTATCGAATTCCCAGCCTGCTGGCCGTCTTTGTATAGTACCTTCGACTCCTTCATCTTCACTGATTATTCTTCTATCCCAATATATGCCATCATGGCGAAGGGTCATATAGTAGTGTGCGTTCCTGGTTTCGTTGATTTCATCATTTGGGACACAAGGAGCAATCTTTGCCAGATGTTTGTCATAATTCCTCTTGTCAACTAAGTTGACTGCTGACATGAAGTAACTCTGGTCCGCTTCAATGTTTTCCACGATCCCATCTTCTCTCCATAAAACTAATCGCTGGTGCATTGACGAAGGAACTGCTCCTACGCCATGAATCCACTCCCTTCCCAGCAACAAGTTGTAGTTGGCCTTGGCTTCGATCACCATGAACATGGTGGGCCTACAGCTTGAGCCTATCGTCAAGTCCAATTGAACCACCCCCAGTGTTTTGCCTACTTTCCCTTCATAATTGGATAGAACCATGTTGTGTGGTTTGATGTCTCCTTCGCGTATTTCTAACCTTTCAGCATGAAATGGGGTATTAAGTTGACTGCAGCGCCCCCATCCACTAGAACCTTATTTACGCCATGGGCACCAACCTTTTCCCGAATAAATAATGGCTTCAGATGATTTTTCATAGCTGGTTCTGGACGCTCGAAGAACGCATTCTGCTCCTCGACAGCTCCATTATCCATCACGTAGTAGCACACAGGCCTATGCTTCATCAGATCTATGGTATCTTCTTCCTCATACTCTTCGATTTCAGTTTCCTGTCCGAACTCACAAGGAAGTACAGATACCACGTTGCAATTGATATTGAGCGAAGACTCCCCCTCTGATTCGAAGTTGTCCGTTAGCATATCTTCGTCTTCTTCTGGACCTGGAGTGTATTCCTTTGATTCATTTGGTTGTACTTCAGAGAAGAGTCTCCTACTAACTGGGGGTTTGTCTTCAGTTTGATTTTTTGGTGTGGGTTTGTTGGTGCTAGATTCACCTTGGTTTTTTATTGAAGTTGCCCCTTTATTTGCCACAGCTTCCCTTTTAGCCTTTCGAATCCTCTGTTGCCTTCGCCATTGAGATCTTGACATGGGGTTTTTTCCTTTGTAGTTCTCTAATCTCACTTCTTCCCTCTTCGCTATGTTGAACTGCCTTCTATATGTCATAGCATGGCGTGCGTTTCGTTCATTGTTTCTCCATTTGTCTTTGCCTTTGTCATTTCTGACTTGCAGCCATTTGTCTGTTGGCACTTCAGTAGGAATTTTGAATGTCACTCTTCGAGCGCCCTTGGGATGAGGACTATCAGGCCTTCGTTGATTGTATTTGCTATCGAAACGAGGGCCCATCTGAACAGTCTCTTGGTGGTTCCAGCAAGGAGCGAAAGGGATTGTTTCAAAGGCTCTAGCCATGCTTTGATCATACACAGCGGAACACCTTGGGCATATCAAGCATTTGGTTGCCCCTTTGTAGCAGCGAAGCAAGAATTCCAACAAACTCTCTCCAGCTTTAGGATAACACCTGAATAACTGGTTATCCTGGCGCCAATTGACGCCAGTTCATGCCCTTTGTAACCTCTCAAAGTTTGCAGCAATTCTCTGGTTGCAGAGGATGCTGCACCTAGGGCATAGTATCATTCCTGTATCTCCTTTGTGGCACATCATGAGGTAATCCTTAAGACTAGCATCTCCAGCATGATTATCCTCCATTTTATACTTCTCTTTTTCTAAGTATCTCTCCACCTCCTCCATCTCAGAACGAGGTCTCTCCATATCCACCATGTTTACCTCAACATCCTCCCCCTTAGTGTCATCATCTCCCTATCCTGTAGGTTTTATATCTTCAATTTGGATTTTTGAACTCTCTGGGGCAGAATATTTGACCAAGTAGTCAAACTTTCCACTGGGCTCCCCTAAAGTATCCCATATTTCTTTCTGAGGGGAAGTTGGCTTCGTGATCTGGACTTTCTCCAATTCTAGCCTCAGGCCTTCAGTAACCTGTGTCAACTCTTGGTTTTGGTTTTCCTGGCCTTCAGTAGCCTGGATTTCTTTTGCAACAGCTAAAGGTGCTGCTTCGATCGAAGTTTCTGATTGCTTGTGGACGTCTTCAGTGACCCCCTTATTGACTTCGACTAACACCCAGCTTTCATTTTCAGTACCTTTCTCTCCTACTGGAGCGTCATTTTGATCAACTTCCACCATGTTAATTTCCCCAATGCATGCAGGCTCGGAGTAATTGGTGTCTGCGACATCCAAAGGATCTTCATCTACTTTCATTTTTGCTTTATCAGCGAACTTCAGTCTGCCATCTTTAATTGCATTCTGAATTAGGTCCCTGAAAAGAAAACACTGTGAGGTTTTGTGGCCTAGGAAACTATGATACTTGCAAAATCCTCTTTTCTTCCTTTGATCTAAAGGAGGTATTTTGACATTTAATGGCACAATGAGTTGGCCATCTTTGACGAGTAAATCAAAGATCTCGTCACACTTAGTTACATCGAAGGTATAAACCTTCTTTGGGAATTTGTCACTTTTCTCATTTTCAACAATTTCTTTCCCTTTTGTGGGAACTAATAATTTGCAGGAGTAAGGTAGTGCCTGTTTTAATTCAGCGAGGTCGATTTCGACCTCTTCGAATTCGAATTCCGGATAATCTTCTGCTTCCTCAGTTCCAACATAGGAGACCCTTTCCTTCTTGTTATTTTTAAAAACTCTGGCCTTTTCGGCTTTTAGCCTTTCGACCTGTCGAACCCTATCGGCTAATTGAGCCATATCCCTCAAGTATTGAGTGTCTAATTTCTTTCGAATAGAGTAATCCAGGCCGCCAACAGCCATTTCGACTAACTCATGTTCAGGAACTACTGTAAAACATCTAGATTTCAAGAGCCTGAATCTATTCAGATAATCATCTATGGGTTCAGTAAACTTCCTTTTGACACTGGCTAGTTCCTACAGACTTATTTTAGATTGTCCCATGTAGAACTGTTCATGGAATAATCTCTCCAACAGCGCCCAAGTATCTATGGACCCAGGAGGTAAAGTGGTGAACCATGTGAAAGCGTTCTTAGTCAGGGAACTTGGGAAATATTTGATCCTAAGGTCTTCATTATTGGCTATATCTCCTGCTTCGGTTAGATATCTGGCTATGTGTTCGACTGTTGATTCATTGGTATCCCCAGCAAACTTTGTAAACTTAGGGACTTTATATCCCCTTGGTAAATCAGTGTGCATTATGTAATCTAATATAGGGGAGGCATAATTTGGCCTTCTAATTCCTGTGTTGAGGCCATTCTGGGCCATGATTCTCTCTATCATGGTGGTTAAATTATTTTCTGCCAAGATGTTATCGTTTCGAATTCTATGAACGACTGCATCAGCATCTTGATTTCGACCCACCATGACAACCCCTCTAGGTTGTTCTCCTCAAAACTCTGGGACTTCTAGCCTTTCGACCCTTGCCCCTGGTTCCATAATTTCCCTTTGTGGGCCTTGAATCATTGGGGCTTCTAACCTTTGAGCCCATGCCCCCAAATTAACCTCCTCTCTGGCTGGTCTATAGGGTGGGTCGTTAGCAACTTGTTCTATAACAGGTACGTTTGCTCGAACTCCCGCCTGATTCTGCCTACGCCTTTCTGGGGGAGCGAAAAAATCTGCTATTCGACTCATGTTATCCGTGTTTTCTCTGTTTGTCACAGTTACATTTTGTACTATTGGGGCAAAGATTTCCTGCATAGTTTGTGCTAACACTCCTATCATATTATGGTTACTGTCATCCATTAATTGCCTAAAGGCCAACTGATTTTCTGTGGTTAAGATAGGCATTGCACTATAACCCACTGACCCTTGGTTATTTGTCATAAATTGATTAGCCCCAGATCCAGACCCTAATTGTGGTGATGAATTCGATGTGGAATTGTGTAAGCCTGTCATAAAAGATGTTGGCATTCCATAAGAGGAATTTCTGGTTCTGTTACCATCGAAACCGGGTGGTCTAGTTAGTGGGGTGGCGAAATGGGTTTGTGTCCCTGGTGGTGGGACGAATCCCCTAGGATAACCAATGGTTCCAGTATTTCCTAGGATCGAACTGTTAGTTGATATGCCACTTGTTCCATTAGTGGCTACGCTACTGGTAGAGGATGCAACAGACAGTGCGTTCAAAGGGATTGCATTAGATGTTCCCATCGAAGCGGACATATTAGTGCCTGTTGTATGTGGGATATTTTGTTCCCCTTGTTGATTGTCTGGATTAGACATCTTGTTTAAACGTTTTTTATCTGGATAAGGGTTGGTTGCTATTGGTTATTCTACCACTTCTAAGGTTCATAAAACAACAAACTTATCACTCAGAGAGTACTTTTACAATGGTTATGTCTCAACAATTTTTACTTTGTTCTAAATTTCGTAATGGCCAATGACGCGTCCCACCAGGTGTGCCAATTTGTTTACAGTTATTTCTGGTAAACAACCGCTAGTCCTCCAAACTATCAAATAATCTTAATGACTGTTATTTAATCTCTCTGGTAACTTGCAGGATCGATTAGATTGATCCTAGGATGTATTGGTCATTTGGATAATTCTCATTATAGAACTGATATTCATGGTTGGTATTTAGAATGTTGTGTAGGTGTTCAACTTACTTCGATTACTCTATTAAAGATCTAATGACATGATCAAGTAAATGCGTGCGAAACTAAATTGCATGAATAAAGTTCAATTGTAAAGACATGTAAAACTGCATAAAAGACAAGTAAATGACTTCGAAGCATAAAAACATGTAATGTAAAAGCGTTTCTGGAATGTAAAAGATTCGAAATATGAAGAAAGCGTTTAAATGCAAGAAATCAGTAAAATGACTTTGAATGAAAAAGGTATTCGAATAATAAAAGCATGAAGATAAAGGCATGAAATATACAAAAGTTTTTGAAATGTAAAGGATTTGAAATGGAAAGAAAACATTTAAATGTAAGACATCAGTAAAAAGACTTCGAATGAAAATATTTTAATGTAAAGGCTTTTGAATGATATTGACATGAAGATAGAGGAAAAGACTGGAAATGATAAAGAGTTTTATTGAATCATAAACACTTGGTGTTATCATACGTACATTGTTCGTGCATTCGTTTCCCTAGCCATGTGGTATTTTGAATGTTTACTGAATTTTTGTATAATAGATATGACACACGAAATCCTAATGCTAAGACTTCTATTTATACTACTTCGACCATAACGGTCTTGCTATAAGATTCTGCCACGTTCAGAACATGCAAAGCAATGCCCTCCTCTAGCTTCCACGCGTCTTCGAATGCTCCAGCGCATATATTTTAAATTTCGAACATCCCGCTTGCGTTTGAATTTCAAATGTTTTGGCACTCTTCGTTTCGAACTCATTTCTTGGACACAACCTTGTTACCATTTCGAGACTTCTTTGAATATATCCCCATAACTGTCACTCGAAGCTCGGAGTTTTGACATGCCCATTCGAAGCACTGCTTCTACCATTTCGAAACATGACATCTTGCTTTATTCCAATCGAAACATCCAACTTGCTTCGCTTCGAACAATATCATCAAAATCTTCAGCCAACAACACTATATAAACCCTCACACTTGCGAGGGCCAGGTATCGAATATTTATTCTATAAACCCTAATCTCTTTCTTGTATCTCTTTGCACTCTTTCTTACTTGAGCGCCAAAGTCTCTTGCTGGTACACCCCCTTCCTTCTCACTGATTCCAGTCTTGCAGACGTCATCTATTGACCCACTCCAGGTTTTGATCAACCGGTAAGATCAGTGGCGCTGTCTATCAGAAACTTGTTCTCCCCGCCTTTTTTTCCTCAAAACTAAAGATCAAAGTGGCATTCAAAGATTCCTATTATGGCCGATCAAGTTGATAACCATCTTTCTGGAAAAACATTGCTCTCTCATGTCCTCAAAACTGACGAAAGCGGAAAAATGCCCCACCTTGAGGATATCTCCGAGAAGAGAGACAAACATATTGCATCTCCTTCTTTGACTGAAGCCGAGGATGACGAAGTCCCATTCTTGGAGAATCAGAAGTTCAAGATTATCTCAGAGGAGTTGCCCGCGATTCTCTAATTGATTCTAATACCAATGTTGTACCCTAAATTTTACCCTGAATTTCTCATTCGTATTCATATATTGAATTAATTTCCATTTACTTCTTTATATTTTACGCGTATTTTCTTTTATTTTTTATTCAATTTTCATTTATTTAAAAGCAAAAAGAATATATATATATATATATATATATATATATATATATATATATATATATATATATATATATATATATATATATATATATATATATATATATATATATATATATATATATATATATATATATATATATATATATATATATATATATATATATATATATTAGGGTTTAGGGTTTATGTTATTGTCCTTGAATAAAAAAAAAAGTATATATAAAAAATTGTGTTTATTTTATAATTTCAATTAAAGAATATATTTTTGATTTATTTTGTTTTTTTAATTAAGTGATATATGTGAGGGCTTATTTTTCTTTGGTTGATACCTTAATAGATTGAGTTTGTCGTAACGAAGAGAGGGATACGATTGATGGATGAGCATATCAGATGACGAAAAGAAATTGAAAACGAGAGAACTCCATTTTTCGTTCTCACAGCCTCCCTCCGCTTTGCCATATCCATCGGAACCACCATTACCTCTCAATCTCCGGCTAGTTCCCTCCTCCATCCTTCAACTCACCGTCCGATTCCACCCTCTCACTCAGTGTTAACCTCACAAACTACCTCATTTACTCACATCATCTTCTTCCAATTTCCAGTCCGCTCTCACAACCATCTTCACCGTAAAACACTCTCCAATCTTCATCGATACCCACTTCCGTACCAGTCACACGACAAATACAACCAACACTGCCACCATAAACCTTCCACATCTCACTTCCTCGCTCATCGAATCACCTTCGTTCTGCAACACCGCCTTCTGTCCAGTCCGGGAACAGCTCACCCTCCGTCCAGATTTCTTCTGTCCGGCGACAAGACTCCCTCCTTCAACTTCCGAACACGTTCCCTCTGCCACTGCTTTGGTTTGAAAGGTTTGAGGTAAAACTGTTTTGTTGAAGAATACTATGATAAATTCTGGAAAATTTTGATGTCTGTGTTGCTAAGCTAGAACTGTTATGTTGTGGACAAACCTGTGATTAAATTCTGTGAAAACGGTGATATTGTGATTAGAATGCATATCACGTTTAATTGTGATTAATTTTGGTTGTTGTTGTTGTGCAACTTGATTGAATTTTGAACAGTAAACTTGGCTATGGCATTTCTTGGTTTTCGATTTTAATTTGATCGTTTGAGATGGATTTTATTTTGCGATAATAGGTTGGTGCAGTGGCTGCCCAAATTTGTTTCGGTTGTGTAAAGTTTTTTTTTAACGTGATTTATCATGTCTTGAATTTGAATTGAATTATAGTATGAGTTTTTGACTTGTGTTTTCATTTGTGAAATGATAATCATGTTTATCGTTGTGTTACATTTGATTGAATTTAGAACGACAAATGCCATGTTGATTAAGTAATGACACAAATTCTTGATTCTTGAAAAGTGTTCATGTTACATTCATGAAGATTTCATTTGATTTCAATTCTCTTGTAATTACTAACTTGCTTGATGTTTTATGGATGTTCTCAAGATAGCTCAAGTGGCCGCTTCCTCCTCGTAACTTTCTTCGCTTTTAATTGATTAATCTAGCTTTGATTTATTTACTTGATTTTGTTATTAAAAATGGATTAGTTTATTAATATATTTTTCTTAACTCAATTAATTAAGTTAATAAACTCTTGGTTAATTGATTAGACTTTCATTTCATTTTTCATTTATCTATTTAGTGGCTTTCTTTCGATGGTATCTTGTACATGTGACACCCCAAATTTATTCAAGTGTTAAATAATTAGGAATTTAATTATTAAATTAATTAAAGGCTTAATTAATAATATTTTAGATTAAATGGATGAATTAATTATGAAATTAAAAAGGAAGACCGGGGGGTGTAAGGTTGAATTAGAGGTGTGTGAAGTAAAAAGCTCTACTAAATAATAATTAATTTATTACTATTATTTGGAAAATAATAAAAGGAATATAAAAAGAAGTATAAAAAGGAAAAAGAAAAAGAAGGTTATTTGGAAAAGTCAATATACGTGAAATTGGAGAAGAGAAGAGAAGAGAGGAAAAAGCCAAACGCCGTGAATTCGAAGGATCATCGCGAGGTAAGGGGTGATTTCATTTAGTTAATATGCCTTATAGGTTTTGGAATCAATAGTATTGATTAAGCCTGTTAGGAATCCCAATTTAGGATCGTTAGGTTTATGAAATTCAAACCCCAATTCCATGGATTTTTATGTTTTGATTCAATTTGATATTATGAGGAAATTGTATGATGTTATGGTGTGTTACAATCTCATTGGAATTCATGCATTATAACTTATTTTGACATTGCTGTGAGTTGGATTCAAATGGGTATGAATTGGATGGGATTGGAGTAGTAAAATGCTGTCAAAAGTGCAGAATTTGACTCTGCAGGTCGTGGGAACCGGTTCCCAGTGGGGAGGAACCGGGTTCCACTGTGTGAATTTATAAAAACTGGCAAAAATGCACGTAGGAACCGGTTCCTATATAGGTAGGAACCGGGTTCCCATACATTTTCCAGAAGCGTGATTTTTGAACTTCGCAGGAACCGGTTCCTGCATATGTAGGAACCGGGTTCTGCTGTAACTTTTGAAAAATATTAAACTTTGAAAATTCATAACTTTCAAACCGTAAGTCCGTTTTGAGTGCCGTTTTAGACGTTATTTATTAAATTTAATGCTCTATTCTATAAAATGAAAAGATTTCCTAAAACCTGAAATTATTTTGAAAATGAGTCAAATCCCGGAATAAGTGATTATTGGCTAACACACATGGGTGTGTATGTAGCAGTGAACCCGTGATGGATGAATGTATTAGTATTGTGTGAATGAAAGACATGTTTATGTTGCTAATGATGGTGTGCATGATCGTTGAGATATCATGTTTTTGGTTTTGGTTCAGTTATGATAAATTGATGTATTTCATAGACTGATTTGATGTTGCATGCTAGTGATGTGCGTGCATATGCATTGTTTTGGTGAAGTTAATTCCCATTGTGTGGAATTTGACTTGAATTGCCGTTAACCGATACCCGTGTGATGATGGGTGGTTAGGCTGAATTCGTGTCCGGGTGTTTATGGACGAATCGATGGTTGCTGTATCTGGTTGATGATGGATCAGTGTTGGGTGACTTGGTCACGTGTTGGTACCACATGCATTGTGTCTGCATTTATGTTTGCATGGAATTGTAACATGTTAGGATGTCTTCCAGTGTTACAATTCTTTGGTTGATTATTGATTTGTGCATAATGACTCATATGATTGGAACTGCGTGTTGAACCTGAATTTATGCTAAAATGGGTGAAATAATATGCTTGTGATATAATTTTGATTGAGAAGCTTATAATGCATGTTAATTATGAGAAATCTCACCCTTACTTTAACAATTTCAGATTAAAGTTAGCAGCTCAGGAGTTGGTGAGGATGGATCTAGAGCTATGTTACTTTAAGTCCGCGTGTCAGTGTCGTGCTCTGATAGGTTGTAACACTGGGGAACGTTTAGTTGAGGAATTAGTTATTATTCAATTGTTTCTTTGAATTTCATTGGGAATAATTATGTTTTGGTTTATTCCGTTTTGGTTATGGTATTTTTCCGCTGTGTAAGACATGGTCTTAATTTGATTAAATTATTTGAATAATGACCCTCAGTGTAGCATGACTACTGTTTTATTGGAAGTTTTATTTATTTCATAATTGTGACATCCCTTGTTCTGTGTTAACTCTGATGGAATATGTCTTTAATCATTGATATAATTAATATTATTCGGGGTATTTTAGAAGGGGTGTTACAATAGTGGTATCAGAGCCTGGTCGGTCTTGTCTTGTGTCGTTATCCCTTTTGTATGCGACTAGTGTAAGATGACACTGTCGATACTTGTGTGCTGATAAGGTTGTTTTGTAATGTTACAGAACAACGGCCGGAAGAGGTAACGGAAGAAACCACGATGCTATTGCTGAAGCATTGGGAATGTTGGCTGGAGTACTCGGAGGGAACCAACAGGGAGCTGTGATTGGTGCTGACTGACAATTGGGGAATTTTCAGAGGAATAATCCTCCGTTGTTCAAGGGTGCACATGATCCCGAAGGTGCTCAGAAGTGGTTGAAGGAGATCGAGAGGATCTTCAGAGTAATTGACTGTGCTGAAGGGCTGAAGGTGAGATACGGAACTCACATGTTAGCAGAGGAAGCTGATGACTGGTGGGTTGCTACCAGAACTAAAATGGAAGAAGATGGTATTGCATTGACTTGGGCTGTGTTCAGGAGGGCTTTTCTGAGGAAGTACTTTCCTGAGGACATCAGAGGCAAGAAGGAGATTGAGTTTCTGGAACTCAAGCAGGGTAACAAGACTGTCAGTGAGTATGCTTCGAAGTTTACTGAGTTAGCAAAGTATTATGCTCATTATACTAACGATGCAGATGGAGAATTTTCCAAATGTATCAAGTTTGAGAATGGTCTTCGTGATGAGATTAAGCAGGGTATTCAGTATCAGCGTATCCGAAGATTTTCTGATCTGGTTGACTGTAGTAGGATTTTAGAGGAGGATCTTGCTAGCACTAAGTCGAATGCTCGAGGGTATGTTGATAGGAAGGGTAAGCAACAGATGGATCGTGGTAAGCCTTATGATAGAAGTAATCAGAGACCTGGTGGTTGGAAGAAGTTTGGTGGAGGAGATTCTAGTTCTTCCATTAAGTGCTACAAGTGTGGTGAGACAGGACATCGTATGGTGGATTGCAAAAGTAATGATAAGTGTTTCAAGTGTGCGAAACTCGGCCATGTGGCCAATGATTGCAGAGTAAGAGTGGTGACTTGTTACAACTGTGGTGAAGAAGGTCATACTCGTCCTCAGTGTACAAAACCCAAGAAGGAGCAAGCTGGTGGTAAAGTGTTTGCATTATCTGGGTCAGAGACTAAGCTAGATGATCGGCTGATTAAAGGTGCATGTTTTATTAATGGCATACCTTTGATTGCGATTATTGATACTGGAGCTACGCATTCTTTTATTGCTTTGGATTGTGCTAAAAGATTGAATTTGGAAATTTCTAATATGGATGGAAGTATGGTTATTGATACTCCTGCGTCGGGTTCAGTGACTACTTCGTATGTTTGTAGGAATTGTCCTATTGTGATTTTTGGTAGGGGTTTCGGTATGGATTTAGTGTGCCTACCGTTAGAACAACTTGATATCATCCTTGGAATGAACTGGTTGGAATTCAACCAGGTTCATATCAATTATTTTGCGAAGACGATTATTTTTCCTGAAGAGGTTGGTGTCGAAGATGTGACTATGTCGGTTAAATAGGTGAACCTAGCTGTGAAAGATGGTGTTGTGGTATTTATGTTGTATTCTGCAATAGAAGTGGAGGGAAAAGCAAAGAGTGATGGATTGCCAGTGGTGAATGAATTTCCAGAGGTGTTTCCGGAAGACGTTAGTGAATTTCCACCTGAGAGGGAGGTAGAATTTACTATAGATTTGATTCCTGGAACTAGTCCGGTGTCGATGGCGCCTTACCGTATGTCGGCATCTGAATTAGCGGAGTTAAAGAAACAGTTGGAGGAGTTACTTGAGAAGAAGTTTATTCGTCCGAGTGTTTCGCCGTGGGGTGCTCCGGTGTTGTTGGTTAAGAAGAAAGAAGGTTCAATGAGATTATGTGTTGATTACAGACAGCTGAATAAAGTTACAATCAAGAATCGGTATCCTTTGCCGAGGATCGATGATTTGATGGATCAACTAGTTGGAGCTTGTGTATTTAGTAAGATTGATCTGAGATCTGGATATCATCAGATTCGTGTGAAGTCGAAAGATATTCAGAAAACTGCATTTAGAACGAGGTATGGACATTACGAGTATTCTGTTATGCCGTTTGGAGTTACTAATGCACCTGGTGTTTTCATGGAGTATATGAACAGGATATTTCATCCGTATCTTGATAAGTTTGTGGTGGTGTTCATTGATGATATTCTGATTTATTCGAAGAGCGATGAAGAGCATGCAGAACATCTCAGAGTTGTGTTGGAATTGTTGAAAGAGAAGAAGCTTTATGCGAAGTTGTCCAAGTGTGAATTCTGGTTAAGTGAAGTAAGTTTTCTTGGCCATGTAACTTCCAAGAATGGAATTGTTGTGGATCCTACGAAGGTAGAAGCAGTATCTCAGTGGGAAGCGCCGAAGAATGCTTCTGAGATCCGTAGTTTTCTGGGTCTTGCAGGTTATTACAGGAAGTTTATAGAAGGATTTTCAAAATTAGCGTTACCGTTGACTAAGTTGACCAGGAAGGGTCAGATGTTTGTTTGGGATGTTGAATGTGAGAAAGGATTTCAAGAGCTGGAGAGGAGGTTGACAAGTGCTCCGATCTTGATTTTGCCAAATCCGACTAAGTCTTTTGTTGTGTATTGTGACGCATCATTAATGGGATTAGGTGGTGTGTTGATGCAAGATAAGTAGGTGGTGGCTTATGCTTCGAGACAAATGAAAGTACATGAAAGGAATTATCCGACTCATGATTTGGAGTTGGCAGCTGTTGTGTTTGTTTTGAAGTTGTGGAGGCATTACTTATATGGTTCTCGGTTTGAGGTGTTCAGTGATCACAAAAGTCTGAGGTATCTCTTTGATCAGAAAGAGTTGAATATGAGGCAGAGGAGATGGTTAGAATTTCTAAAGGATTATGATTTCGGTTTGAATTACCATCCTGGTAAGGCAAACGTTGTTGTGGATGCCTTGAGTAAGAAGTCCTTGCATATGTCGATGTTAATGGTCAGTGAGTTAGATTTGGTTGAGCAGTTCAGAGATTTAAGTTTGGTATGTGAAACTACTCCGAATAGTGTGAAATTGGGTATGTTGAAACTGACTAGTGGTATTCTGGAAGAAATTCGGAATGGACAGAAGTCTGATGTTGGGTTAGTTGATAAAGTGACATTGATCAACCAAGGTCAAGGAGGCGAGTTCCAGATTGATGAGAATGGTGTTATGAGATTTGGTAATAGGGTGTGTGTTTCGGATGTTGCAGAGATTAGGAAGAGTATTTTGGAAGAAGGACATCGTAGTGGATTGAGTATTCATCCTGGTGCTACTAAAATGTACCATGATTTGGAGAAGTTGTTTTGGTGGCCGGGAATGAAAAAGGAAATTGCTGAGTTTGTGTATGCTTGTTTGGTTTGTCAGAAGTCGAATATTGAGCATCAGAAACCGTCAGGATTGATGGAACCGTTGTTTGTTCCAGAATGGAAATGGGATGGAATCTCTATGGATTTTGTGTCTGGTTTGCCAAGGACATCGAAGAATTGTGATTCTATCTGGGTTATTGTTGATCGGTTGACGAAATCTGCTCACTTTATTCCGATAAGAATGGATTATCCGATGGAAAGGTTGGCAGAATTGTATGTTGAGAAGATTGTGAGTTTGCACGGTATTCCTTCTAGTATTATGTCGGATCGAGATCCGAGGTTTACATCTAAATTCTGGACGGGATTGCAAGAAGCTTTGGGTACTAAGTTGCGTTTGAGTTCCGCTTATCATCCACAGACAGATGGTCAGACGGAGAGAACGATTCAGTCGTTGGAAGATTTGTTAAGAGCTTGTGTGTTGGAGAAAGGTGGAGCTTGGGATAGTTATCTACCATTGATTGAGTTTACCTACAATAATAGTTTTCATTCGAGCATTGGTATGGCTCCGTTTGAGGCATTGTATGGTAGGAGGTGTCGGACACCGTTGTGTTGGTATGAATCTGGAGAGAGTGCTGTGATTGGACCGGAAATTGTCCAACAGACTTCGGAAAAGATTAAGATGATTCAGGAGAAGATGAGGACTTCTCAGAGTCGTCAGAAAAGTTATCACGATAAGAGGAGGAAAGATCTTGAGTTTAGCGAAGGAGAACATGTTTTTATGCGAGTTACTCCGATGACTCGTATTGGTCGAGCTTTGAAGTCAAAGAAGTTGACTCCACGTTTTATTGGTCCGTTTCAGATTACCAAGAGAGTTGGGAAAGTTGCTTATCAGATTGCTTTGCCGCCGTCACTTGCAAATTTGCATGATATTTTTCATGTATCTCAGCTAAGGAAGTACATTGCTGATCCGTCTCAAGAGATTCGGGTAGACGATATACAGGTACGAGAGAATTTGACTGTGGAAGCGGTACCTGCGAGAATTGAGGATCGGAAGTTGAAACAGTTGCGAGGCAAGGAGATCGCGTTGGTAAGAGTGGCTTGGGGAGGACCAGCAGATGGAAATGTCACTTGGGAGCTGGAGAGCCAGATGAAGGACTCGTATCCCGAACTGTTCGTCTAAGGTATGTTTTCGAGGACGAAAACTCTTTTAGTAGGGGAGAGTTGTGACACCCCAAATTTATTCAAGTGTTAAATAATTAGGAATTTAATTATTAAATTAATTAAAGGCTTAATTAATAATATTTTAGATTAAATGGATGAATTAATTATGAAATTAAAAAGGAAGACCGGAGGGTGTAAGGTTGAATTAGAGGTGTGTGAAGTAAAAAGCTCTACTAAATAATAACTAATTTATTACTATTATTTGGAAAATAATAAAAGGAATATAAAAAGAAGGATAAAAAGGAAAAAGAAAAAGAAGGTTATTTGGAAAAGTCATTATACGTGAAATTGGAGAAGAGAAGAGAGGAAAAAGCCAAACGCCGTGAATTCGAAGGATCATCGCGAGGTAAGGGGTGATTTCATTTAGTTAATATGCCTTATAGGTTTTGGAATCAATATGATTGATTAAGCCTGTTAGGAATCCCAATTTAGGATCGTTAGGTTTATGAAATTCAAACCCCAATTCTATGGATTTTTATGTTTTGATTCAATTTGATATTATGAGGAAATTGTATGATGTTATGGTGTGTTACAATCTCATTGAAATTAATGCATTATAACTTATTTTGACATTGCTGTGAGTTGGATTCAAATGGGTATGAATTGGATGGGATTAGAGTAGTAAAATGCTGTCAAAAGTGCAGAATTTGACTCTGCAGGTCGTGGGAACCGGTTCCCAGTGGGGAGGAACCGGGCTCCACTGTG